AATAGACTAAAGGCCCTAAATGTGTAAAATAACAAAAAAAATATGTAAAAAATAAAAAGTATAAAAAATCCTAACCGTGAATGCCGCACCTTTTGATAAATCTGTAGGATTGGTTGTATAGGGAGAGGTATTAGCAGTAGAAAGAGAGATGTGCTCATGCCATTGTACAGAACACTGGTGAGACCTCACTTGGAGTATTGTACGCAGTACTGGAGACCGTATCTTCAGAAGGATATTGATACCTTAGAGAGGGTTCAGAGAAGGGCTACTAAACTGGTTCATGGATTACGAGATAAAACTTATCAGGAAAGGTTAAAGGATCTCAACATGTATAGCTTGGAGGAAAGACGAGACAGGGGGGATATGATAGAAACACTTAAATACATAAAGGGAATCAACACAGTAGAGGAGGAGACTATATTTAAAAGAAGAAAAACTACCACAACAAGAGGACATAGTCTTAAATTAGAGGGGCAAAGGTTTAAAAATAATATCAGGAAGTATTAGTGGATGCATGGAATTGCCTTCCAGCTAAAGTGGTAGAGGTTAACACAGTGAGGGAGTTTAAGCATGTGTAGGTAGGTAGACTAATGAAAATATTTAGAAAATTGGGCAGTCTACATGGGTCGCATGGTTCTTATCTACCGCCACATTCTATGTTTCCAGGATTCTTCTTGTGCCTTACAAAGTCTAATGGCACAAGTAGAGCTAAATCCAGCTAGTAATCTGAGCAGGGACACACCGAAGTGCAGGCTACTTGAGCTGTTATCCATTCTCAGTAATCTCTTGCACCTTGTTTTTTTTCCTCTCCCTATGTAGGATTCTTCTGCCTCAAAAAAAAAGTGGCTGAGCTTTCACAGCCAATCCTAGTCCCTACAATGTAGTTTCTGAGATCACTGTAGTAGATATCCTAGGAACAAGACAGATTCGAACATTCTGGGATCAAACCAGTATGAAATTACAGAGGGGACTTCAGAAAAATAAATACATTTGCATAAAGGTAAGAAAAAAGGTACAATTATTCGATATGGCATTGCCCATTACCTGACTCAATTGGAATATTTGAGGTGATTTTATGATCACATTTGCTTGCTGTTTAACAAAACCACGCATTACCTTAGTGTTAACGTGCATGAATACACTTTAAAACATTAAAATTAGGAGCGTAAAACTCTCTCTGCAAGACTCATTTAAAATATGTCTGAAAATGATCCTTGCTTTGTTCAAAATTACAGTAATAACAGGCAAGGTATATATTTATTATTTTGTAATTGTTGACCTGCATTGTATTTATTATTTGTTAATTCTAGACCTGTCATGTATTTCGTTCTTGGTAATTCTAGATCTGTCATTTATTTGTTATTGCTAATCGCGGATTTCTGCTGTATTTATTACGGAATAAAATGTTTTAATATACAGTTAGTTAAGATATACTGAATAGACCTTTGCATGAATGAATACATTCTTAGGGAATCCATTGAATGATGACCGCGTTACCCTTTTGTATTGGAGCAGAATGACGAGACACATCGACCTTTCTCACACACCTAGAAGTTACTATACGTCATTTTGTCCAATCTGAGATTTTCAGCTGCTCAGAGGGCTAGACAACTTGGCCTGACTTCACAAGGAGAGTCTAACCAGAAGGCATTTTTTTTTACAGCTTTAAGGGAGCTAAAGGAGGGGGGGATATTAGACAGTTCTGCCATTGTATGCATTGCATCCGATACTGAAAGCCCATTGCCTTCCGACTGTTTATCTCGCTCGCTGACCTGGTGAATCCAGGCTTTTTATGTTATTCTCTGTGAGGTTTTATTAAGACAGCCTCGGTTAGCAGAATACAATGGGTTCTGTATCTGCATTTAGTGAAACAGACTACAGTGTGAAGTATTTTTTCTTTAAATCTTTTTATTAGTATTATTTTGCACTAATATACTGTAAGTTACGCAATGGAGTAGTATTTTTTTCCAGTTACCCAAAAGAAATGCCATGTCAGACAGCGTGACAATAAGCAATATAAACAGTGTGTTTAACCTCTAGACCAGGGATAGGCAACCTTCGGCACTCCAGATGTTGTGGACTACATCCCCCATAATGCTCTTAAACACATAATGCTGGCAAAGCATCATGGGAGGTATAGTCCAAAACAACTGCAGGGCCTAACGTTGCCTCTAGACTGTAAACTCGTTTGAGCAGGTTCCTCATCAACCTATTGTTCCTGTAACTTTTGTAATTGTTTCATTTATTATTACATTTCCTCCTTATCTTATATATTCCCTTATTTATAATATCGCTGCGAAATAAGTTGGCACTATATAAATGCCAAACATAATAATAACAATCAGGGACAGACTGGCAGCTTACAGGGCCCTCGGATAATGGATGCGGTATTTCTTGGCTACTACTACTTTTCTCCCCCTGTTTTGTGCGTCTCTCACACAGATATGTATGCGCTGCCCAGCACCCAGAATGGCTGCGTGAGAACCATACAGTCATGACTCCCACACCCGCAGGGCCCCCATGCAGGGCCAGATTTGCTTTTAAGAGGTTAATCCAACTAAAAGCAGGGTTTAACAAAAAACACTATTTTTTGATGGAGTAACAATGGGGAATTCATTGTTTGTCTTGTTTTACCTATTCTACGGTGCTGCAGAATATGTTGATGCTATATAAGTGATTGTAAGGGATAGAGGCTGAGGTGAGTGCATGGGTGGCATAAGAGCTGTAGTGGGTGCAGGGAAGGATATAATCTGTAGTGGGTGCAGAAATACATAGGGCTGTGGTGGGTGAGGTGGGTACAGGGAGGCTTGGTGGCTGTGGTGGGTGCAGGGAAACTGAGGTTGGTGCAGGGAGGGCTAGAGGCTGAGGTGGGTTCTGGAATGCATAGAGGCTGTGGTAGGTTAGGTGCAGAGTGCATAGGGGCTGTGGTGGGTACAGGGAGGGATAGAGGTTGGGGTGGGTGAAAGGAAGGAGGAATTGGGGCTGTGGTGGGTGCACAAAGGCATAGGGGCTGTGGTAAATGCAGGGGGCATAGGACTGTGATTAGTGCAGGAGGGGCATAAGGGCTATGGTGGATGCGGGAAGGCACATGGGTTGTGGTGGGTGAAGAGGGTTGAGATTCGTGCAGGGAGGGATGGGGGCTATGGTGGGTGTAGGAAGGCATAGGGGCTGTGGTGGGTGCAGAGGGGCTGAGCTGGGTGCAGGGAGGGATGGGGTCTGTGCCCATTATAGGTACAGGGAGTGTGTTTCTCTCCCCATTCTCCTTGTTTTCTCAGAAGACTAGTTCATGCTGGCTGTTCTGCCACACCTTTAAATCTCCCATGTTGTTCTCAGCCCTTGTTATGGTCCGTCTGCACCCTGCCTTGTAAACACAGTAATGCATTTTCACTAACATAGAACAGAATTGAAGTTAATTGGGTTTTTGTGTGATTGTAAAACTGTTATTGTGCAACACTTCTTGGTGCCCAGCAGGTTATTTTATGATGGTGACCTAAACTAATTATGTCCTGAATACCAAGACTCTAGGCAGGGACTTACATTGTTTTAACTGATGACCTCCTGTGGGGAATGTGCCTCTAAAATACCTGTTTTGTGTTCAATAAAGTCAGTTCTTATTTACCTTTCACTAAGTCTAGGCTAGTGTTTGAGTGAGACAGCTATACACTCTGCAGGAGAGCCTGATCACTTTGGGACTATGGCCTAATAACCTGCTCTAGGGTGGGAAATTCCTGCATAGATCCCAGTCAAGCTGCGGCGACTCAGGGCTGATGTGCTCATGGTGTCCCAGTTATAACTAGTAAGCGTTCTTGACAGAGGTACCCAGCCAGGAGTACCAGGAAGTCCATCACACACCTGCCTTGCGACAACTTCTCATTGAACTGCATTGGGAAGTCTGTGACTGGACAAACACAAAAAGTCTGGGCGGGGTTAGAAGGGGAGGGTTTGCAAAGGCAGCAGATAATAAATCTGTATCTAGATATTCCCCAATAAAAAAATGCTTACTTAAATACATGCATGTTTTCATTGGCGCTATATCTACGAATTATTGTTTGTTTTTTAAATCAGGCAGTGGAGTGTCCCTTTTAAGGTGAGAATTGTCAGGAATTGAAAGTGAACTTCAATTTAAGGCCAAAATAACCAAACTGGAGAAAAAAACTACAAGTTAACTACTCTGAGTTTGACTGTTTTGGCCTTAAATTTGAAATTCACTTGATGTCACTTTGATTCTCCAAAAACTCTCACTTTGGTGAAGAACACAGACAGTGATTTCCAGCCTGGCTATAACATATATTGTTCCCCACCATGCACGTCACCTGATTCTAGAAACATGTGTTTTTAACTGAACCATTTGGTCCTTAGCTGTATCAAATGGATACAGCTAATCTATACAGCCAGAACAACTGCACTGCATATTAATGAGAGGAGCATAGACATTGTCAGACTAATTTAAGGATATGCAGGTTTAGGAGAGTCGGTAAACCAATCGATAAAAATATTGATTTTATTTGTCTGGTGGTTATTGAACGTAGATAAGGACAATGTTTCAAAGGAGGCAATTTATCCAAATGTTCTATTTAAAAAGTCTAAAGTACTAAACGTGGGGAGGTCACAATTAACACGAGTAGAACCAGTAGGTTCCATTTTTTACTCGTCCCCTTTTACATTATTATACCGCTCTTTAGAGTAAGGCACTTTGACAAATCCCCCCTTCCTAGGTGTAGGTGTATCTTGACGTTACTATTGGTGTTACCATACTTCCCAAGTGTCCTATTTTGGACCCAAATTCATCTGTCCCTCTTGTCATCCTGTTGTTCCTCTTTTCTAGGAGCTCCATTTTACAATAAAATAAGATACATTTTCTTGTTATAAACTACAGTTTCTCAAAACAGATGTATGACCCATTCTCAAATCAAATCGAGAGATTTTCTTAAAAGTAGAGAATTCAGTGTTTGTCTCTCACTTGGCAAACATTTTCTCTTCTTACATAGTCGATATGCCTAGACCATTCTAACTCTGTTATATCATTAGCTAATCCCAATAAGAATTGTCTTATAATCACCCATTTATAATGCTCGTTAACATGGCTATGCATATACTGAATTACTCTGACGGAGTGCCTTGTAACATTCTGCTCACACCAGCAAGGTGACTCTACTTGTGATTAAGATATACCAGCATGTGTACACATACAGAAATAAACAGATAATGCATGCTCATGTTCAAGGTCCATCAAAGCAACATTGATATTAAGTAATATTCTATATGGTCTAATTATACACGTGTGTAATTTATGGTAACATACAATCAGCCATGGACTCTATGAAGGATATTTATGGCTTCTGACATAAATTACTTTGATCCATAAATATTCAGTTCCTTTCCATATAGCTGACTTTGCATATTTTATTATAGATCTCACATTCTGAATGTTTGCCAGTTTGCAGTACGTAGCTTGTCCTACATGGAGGATAATGGTGAAGAGGCAAGATTGACGTGTCAGTAGTATAGGTTTGTCAAAGACAATCCATAGTTATTTTTGTTACATTGTTGTCTTCCAGATTATGTGCAAAATCATCTTTACAACACTTACAGGTCATACTATAGTGCCTCGCTGTGTCCATTCTGCCGCTACAGTGTGAGGGTCACTATCACAGATGTCTTTAATTGCACTTGCATTTTGTAGGACATAAAAGATGCTGTTTTGGGCATGAAGTTCTAAGCCAGTCAATGGCTTCTCATTCACAAAATGTCTTGAAAAAAATGTATGTGTTGTTGTCAAAGCTGTTTTTTTGTGAATGAGGAGTTACTAATTGGCTCAGAACGTAAGCTAAGGCTTTCAGCCACTCAGTGGCACCCCAAGCTGACACAGTCTGAAGCTTCCTGTTTGAAGAAGCAGAGAGAAGTGATAGGACAGTGAAGTGAAGAGCAAAACAGCACTGGAGAGAAGAATTTGGGGTTAAACTGTTTGAGAACTTTTTAACCCCTAATGGTAAGCTAGCATTGCGGACCTCCTGGCACCATAACAACTTAATTCCAATAACGTTGTTATGGTGTTCGGAGTGTTTAAGTGGTACTTAGCTCCCCCTTAAGAACCTATTCCCCACTTAGTAGATTTTGCACAATTTAATTGTTTTTTGGGACACCCAAAATTATACAAATTGTCAGTTTCTGAGTGCATTTTAAAAAGAGACTTTTTAAAATATATAGTTGTGTATTTGCAGACCACATGTTGGCTATTTCATTAACTTTTAGACTTTTCACTTTTATGTACTTTATTGATTTAAATAAAAAATGGTTTCCTGCTGTTTTTCTTAATCATAAGATTGTCTTTAAAAGCTCTTCTCTTGTCTCCGCAATTTCACACTGGTTTTCCTTTCTGAAAAGTCCTGTCATTTCTACATTGAGACATTTTCCAAAGTAAAATGTTGATTAATGTCCTCTTGATATAAGTCCTTAGCTACCAAGTTACTTAGTCTGCAAGAATAGCCAATTTACAAAATGTAATCAATAAATATGTCTTTGTATGCCAGAAAAAAAACAATGAATCTCAGGAAGTGAAATAGAATAGAATGTCAAATCTGATAACGGTTGTGCGTAGTTCACATTTTTAGCTGAAGATGTGTATTTATTTTGATCAGCTCGATAATTCAAGACGTAAACATTACTAGGGCATTCAATGCCGAAACCTGGTTTTCAAGGGCTTGCAAACTTGTGCAAAACATCCTATTTGATTACTAGATCCAGGCTAAGTATTCATTTTTCATTTCTGAGCAATGATGGATTTTACGGATGGAAAGAGACAGATTGTGTAGCCTTTTTATCACAATGTTGCTACCTACCAAAGCTATGATAACAAGTAATTCCAGCAGTAATTAGTACGCATGGCCAGTACACAGGAAAACCAGTCTGACAGGCTAACCACAACAAAATAAAGGTGATACATTGTCATGATTACAGGGAACACGTTCTGTCAAACTCGCAAGAAATGTGCGTAGATAAAAATTGGATTCTTAAAGAGTTATTTGGTAAGGTAAGAATTGTCAGGAATTTAAAATTAATTTCAAAATTTACGTCAAAATAAACAATTTTGTTGGTAGTTTGATTATTTTGGCTTTAACCCCTTAAGGACACATGACATGTGTGACAGGTCATGATTCCTTTTTATTCCAGAAGTTTGGCCCTTAAGGGGTTAAATTTGAAATTCTTTTCATTTCACAATTTTCACTTAAAGGGACTCTCAGTGCCAGGGAAACAAACCGTTTTACTGGTACTGCAGGTCCCCTCTCCCTCCCACCCCCCATCCCAAGTTGCTGAAGGGGTTAAAACCCCTTCAGTGACTTATCTGTATCCAGTGCCGATGGTCCCTCGGCGCTGGTTCAGGGTCCGCCCAATAGGATGACGTCGGCCGGCGATGGGGGAGACCTAATGCGCATGCGCAGCAATGCCACGCACGCGCATTAGACCTTCCCATAGGAAAGCATTGAAAATGATTTCCTATGGGGATTTCAGTGACGCTGGAGGTCCTCACATAGCGTGAGGACGTCCAGCGACACTATAGCACAGAAAATCTGTGCTATAAACCCGGAAGTGCCCACTAGTGGTTGTCTAGTAGACAGCCACTAGAGGAGGAGTTAACCCTGCAAGGTAAATATTCCAGTTTATGAAAACTGCAATATTTACAGTTGCAGGGTTAAGGGTAGTGGGAGTTGGCACCCAAACCACTCCAATGGGCCAAAGTGGTCTGGGTGCCTGGAGTGTCCCTTTAACCCTGTTGTCACAAGACCGCAGTTTCAAACTTTCCAGAACACACATTATGTTAGCATGCTGTACATGAAAAGGTCTGCCGTGCACTACATGTATTCCATATCTTCGTAAGGATGGTCAATAAACTAATAAAGCTTGTTCATCACGGATGTGTGAATTTAATATTTTTAGATCCCATAAAATCTTTTTGCCGCTTCTCAGCATGCAGGTGTCAGATGGGAGTTTTTGATACACGACCCAGTTCTTGATGCAGATTAAAAAAAACTCCAATGATCAGGTGAACAGCCACTTCCCATTTAAAAAGAACACTCCAAGCACCATCGCCATAACAGCCCTCGGTAGTGGTTATGGTGCCATAAGTGACCTGGCAACCTCCAAATGTAAGTAGTAAAACCCTTTAGAAAGTTTTGACTTCTTTCATGAGTTCCACCAGGCGTACTACCCACCTCCACTACTTCAGAGAGTTGAATGTATATGTGTGTTTGTATGTATGTAGTGCTGGCTTTTAAATGCGGATGTGCATTAGTGTGTAGTGTTGGTGTTTGTGTGTAATATTTGCATGCATGGGTGCATTTGGATGTAGTGTCTTAAATGCAGATGTACATTAGTGAGTAGTATTGGTGTTTGAATAGCATTTTGGAGTTTGATTCAGGGGTGTGTTTGCTTGCTGGGATGTACGCACATACATACTTACACAGATATACATACACATTAACACACTGATGCATACACAGATATGCACACACACTCCGATAGACAGGTACACATACAAGGGTGTATCGGTATGCAGTGTTGCAGGAAGGCAAGGGTGTATATGTGTGCAGTGTTGTAGGAAGGCAAGTATGTATCTGTGCAGTGCTGCAGGGAGGCAGGGGTGTATGTGTGCAGTGCTGCAGGGAGGCAGGCGTGTATGTGTGCAGTGTTGCAGGAAGGCAGGGGTGTATGTGTGCAGTGTTGCAGGAAGGCAGGGGTGTATGTGTGCAGTGCTGCAGGAAGGCAGGAGTGTATCTGTGTGCAGTGCTGCAGGAATGCAGGGGTGTATCTGTGTGCAGAGTTGCAGGGAGGCAGGGGTGTATCTGGGTGCAGTGCTGTAGGAAGGCAGGGGTGTATCTGTGTGCAGTAGGAAGGCAGGGGTGTATCTGTGTGCAGTGCTGTAGGAAGGCAGGAGTATATCTGTGTGCAGTGTTTGCATTATGCATTGCGACACGCACAGACACAGCTATACACAAGCTCATATATACTCAGACCCAAGTACACACAGATATAAATATCAGTTTGCATATTTTAGCCACCTTCCGGTTTCCTTTTGGTTGCAGAAAGATGGTTTCCTTTAGTTCCAGTAAAGACAGGCTGACGGAAGCCTGAGGCACCAGGCTTCCTAGATCCCTCCTCCCCATTCAGTGCCCAGTTACTTAGGAGGAAGAGATCTGACCTCACTTTCTCCAAGCAAGCTGCAGGGGAACAAACAAAATGAAAGGGGCCCAGTTCGGAGCAATATTTTCTGCATTTTGACTAACCGGCTGCTCCCAGGAAACTTGCCATAACCTGGTTGCGGTCTGCGTCCCTGCGTGGAAAATTGCCCTACAGTTGAAAGATCAAACTTCAGAAAAGTTCTTGTCCCTTCCTCTTCTCAGTCATGGCGCCTTTCCCTATGCATATTACCTCTATGTGCCCTTTTCTGGTAGCAATCAACCTTTTACTGGTAGAAGGTCATTGTCCCCTTCTTACGGACGCCCTTCCTTCTCTCCTAGCACCACCCTCCACTGCAACATACAGTCATATCGCTGCCAAGCTTGTGATTTCACCCAGCCACCACCAGTGACAGCTATAGGTAAGTTAGTCTCTTTCCAAGGAAGATCCTGCTTGCGCATGCACAAAAGTACAACACTGACATCAGCTCCTGGCAGCTGAAGCCAACATTTCACCACCCACAAGTGACAGGTTCACGTAACTAAATATTATCTTTCCCTGCACCCCACGACGACCAAACTCCAAACAGAGATATCACCGTCAGCACTCTTCAAGCCAGTACCCCCACAATGAGATCATCCTGATGGATTCTCATAATCCGCAATGTTTCCATGTGTCAGACAGCAGGGAAAGAGTCTAGGCACCAGTATTAGTGCAGTAGGGCTCGACCATTCCCAGCGCCAAGGGAGCTGTAATCTTGCAGTCATAGGACATCACTCTGGCACTGGCCTCACAATATGGTGAGTGATGCAGCAAAAAGAGCTTGAAGATTAAAGTATCATAACAGCCATACTGGATCCCAGGGAAAGGATACACTCCAGCTCTCCCAAAGATGTAAATTAAAATAAAGTAAGTGTTCAGATAAATTGTCTGTCAGTGATGTGTATGGCCACAAAAAAAGAAAGGGGTTAACCATTTATGTAACCACCCCCAATCACACAGGAAAGGCATAACACCTTTTTCCTCACGCTAGTCTTGCAGCAGCAAGCCCCGCCTCAGATCAAACTTTTTGATCTTAGCCAGTCCAATGGTTTATCATAGGAAAACACTGGAAGGCTCTTGTGCATGCATGGTAAAAGTTCAGTGTCTCCGTGCAGAGCATGGAGACCGTGAATGTATGTGCTGCACACAGTGCAGCACTGGACTGGGAAGCACATCTAGTAGCTGCCTGACAGCCACTAGAGGTGTTACTAGGCAGCAATGTAAACACTGCCTTTTCTTTGAAAAGGCTATGTTTACATTGAAAAGCCTGCATCTGGACCCCAGAATAACTGCATTAAGCAAGTTGTTCTAGTGACTAGTCTCCCTTTGTTCTGGTGAGTATACTCATTACCTTCAGGCATTTTCATTGCCCCTAGGGACACCTCCAAGTGGCCACTGCTGCACAGCAGGCAGCAATGCAGTTCAGCTTCTCCATGGGGACGCTGAATTTTCATCACAGAGATGCACTGATTCAAGGCATCTCTTTGAAGAAGTGCCGATTGGCCAAAACGGCATTTGCCCGCTCCCTCAACCCCTTGCAGATTTTAGCCAATCCATTCCCTATGGGAAAGCACTGAATTGGCAAAAAAATTAATTTAAAAAAATCAGCAATTCTGACGTCATCATGGAGAGAGCCAGCGTCGGCAGACCTGCACGGTGCTGATATAAGGTGAGTTTCAATTTCTTTTAAGAGAGAGGAGGGGGGGGGGGCAAGCATCCTAAATACACAAACATGTATTCCTGACCCTATAGTGTTCCTTTAAGATCTGTCATTTTTGTCATTGAAAAAGCTTTAGTTTTTTAATCTGGCACAATTAAGTTATGCTGCTTGAAATGCGCCAACTCCTTACTTCAGGTGTTAAAACAGTCTCTGAAAGGTATATTACTTAAGACGTTCCCTTTGACACTGGTCTGTTGCATGCCACTGCTTTTTGGGCCAATGCAGAAGCATTAATAATTAAGTGTTTTTTCTAAACTACATTAAAAAAAAGTAAGTGGGTTTGCAACCTGAAGTGCACCTTTTCCTTGATGGTATCCACATATATTTGACATGAAAGGTTCACTTTAACATGAGTACTCCTTGCCCATCAGCCTTAGTCCTGTGTCAAATCCCTTCAGCGGTTTGACGCAAGGGATCCACCGAAAGCTTGTGACAGAACCAGGGACTGTGCCAAGGGAGTGCTCACAGCAACACTTTATAAAATTGGATATAGAAAGAGACAGATCAATTAGTGTGAGTAAACAAAAAGCTTTTCTTTAGCAGTGTGACTCCAGCCAAAGGAAAGTTATACAACTTTTCCAACCAATGGCGTGTAAGCATGCAAAGAGAAAATTGAACAGCCTGGCTTCTAACAGTGAAGCAAATAATTGAACAATGGAGTAGCACTGTAGGTAAAAAAACAAAACAAATGCCAAGGATATAAATGACTGCATTATACTTACCTATTCCTTGACCGAACAATGAAAACAAACTCTTTGTAAACATCCCTTTCATTTACTACTGAAAGGTTATTAGAAATACAGCAAGATGTAAAATGTTTTGCTTTCCATAACACGTGACAAGTTCTAGTATGAAGATTGCCAAAATACTATGGTGACACCATCATAATACCCCATGGGCTCTACACTTTTCACAGGCCTACAAAGAGAACACTGCTCTCTAGATACCTCAAATAAAACCTTGGTTGTAAAGTTACTTTTATGGAAAACTCCCAACAATTACAACCAAATCATGTGATTTGGAGATTTTATTGAGCATTTGTTGAGACATTGACTGTGAAACCACCCTGGATCAGAAATGGTAAGAGCAACCAAATATAATTGAAAATTAGAATTTAATATTTTTCTCTGTACAGGCTTCTGATTTTACAACACCTATTTAAAAACATTAAATTGCATATTAAGATGCACAGAATGGGCCCACTGTTTTCATCAATACATAAAGCACAAATCAAACAAATATTAACCTTCAGTGGGATGGTTTATTAAAATGTTAAACACCAAGTGATTTTTATTTTAAAAGCATCTTAGCAGAGAGATAATGACACTTATCCTTAATGGTGACATGAGCAAAAGGAAATCACTTGCTTATATAATTTAATGGAATTTCAAAGTCTACCCAACTATTACAATATCATCAGAAGGAAATTCATATTCTGGGACTTCAAGATTTAACGGGGCAGGACCTTTGCGAATTCTACCAGAGGCATCGTAATGTGATCCGTGGCATGGGCAATAATAACCACCATATTCGCCAGCATTGGAAATAGGAACACACCCAAGGTGAGTACACACTCCAATCAAGATGGCCCACTGTGGCTTCTTTACTCTGTCAAGATCGTGCTGAGGGTCCCTCAGATCACTCAAGCTGACTTTGGCTTCTTGATCGATTTCGGCCTGCGTTCTGTGACGGACAAACAAGGGCTTTCCCCTCCACTTGAAAGTCACGTTCTTGCCCTCTGGTATGTCACCAAGCTTTATTTCAATCTTCGACATGGCCAGCACATCTGCAGACGCACTCATACTGCTGACAAACTGAGAAACGGCATTCTTTGCAACGTAGGCCGTAGCGACAGTTGTGACTCCAGTGACCAGGTAAGAAAAGGTCTTCCTGGTATCGCTGCTGGGTTGGGATGACTTTGTGCTGTCCAATACATCTGACCGCCGGTAGTCTGAAAAGTCTGGGACAGTAATATCACTGTGGGCATAGCGAACACAAGATGTGGCTGTGTAGAGAACGGGGAAGACAATTAAAATATTTTACTTACAGTAAATTATTTTTCCCTCAGTGTAGTGGCAGTACACCTTCCCTCTGTGTGTGTACCCCCACCCCACACTCAGCCTTTCCCTCTCTGTGTGTACCCCCACACTTCTTCCCTCTGTGTAGCCTCCTCAGCCTTCCTCTCTGTGTAGTCAGCCTCTCTCTCTGTGTGTAGCCCCCCACAATCAGCCTTCCCTCTCTGTGTGTACCCCCCACACTCAGCCTTCCCTCTGTGTGTAGCCTTCTCTCTGCCACCTCAGCCTTCCCCTCTCTGTGTGTACCCCACACTTCAGCCTTCCTCTGTGTGTACCCCACACTTCAGCTTCCTCTCTGTGTGTACTCCCCACACTCAGCCTTCCTTCTGTGTGTATCCCCACACTCAGCCTTCCTCTCTCCTGTGTGTACTCCCCACACTCAGCCTTCCTTCTCTGTGTGTACCCCCACACTCAGCCTTCCTTCTCTGTGTGTACCCCCACACTCAGCCTTCTCTCTCTCTCTCTCTCTGTGTGTACCTCAGCCTTCCTTCTCTGTGTGTACCCCCACACTCAGCCTTCCTTCTCTGTGTGTACCCCACACTCAGCTCTTTCCCTTCTGTGTACCTCCCCACACCTCAGCCTTCCTCTGTGTGTACTCCCCCACACTCAGCCTTCCTCTCTGTGTGTACCCCCACACTCAGCCTTCCTCTCTCTGTGTGTACCCCCACACTCAGCCTTCCTCTCTGTGTGTGTACCCCTTCACACTCAGCCTTTCCCTCTCTGTGTGTACCCCCACACTCAGCCTTCCCTCTCTGTGTGTACTCCCCTCACCCCTCCTCTCTGTGTGTACCCCCCACACTCAGCCTTCCCTCTCTCTGTGTGTACCCACCCAGCCTTCTCTCTGTGTGCTTCACACTTCAGCCTTCCCTCTCTCTCTGTGTACCCCCCCCACACTCAGCCTTCCCTCTCTCTCTCTGTGTACCCCCTCCCCTCCCCAGGGAGCTCACCGTTGATGCTGGCCGTGGCAGAGAGCCCTCCGCTGGGTGCTTGGCCGCTCAATGATTCCCGGCTGAGGAAGGGTCTCTTCACATCCAGCAGGGCCTTGTCTGCGAGCAGCACAGAGCCGGACACCAGCGGCTTTAGCGGCCCGGCCACGGTGTACGAGGTGGCCGAGAGATAGGGGGCCAGGGAGCCGGAGCGGGCAGCCAGGGACAACATGGCAGCGCACTGACTAGGAACTCGGGGCCGGTCACACCGACCTTTTACAGGAAGCGGAAATGACGCACTGTGCGTAATGACGCGGACATGACGCCGCGCGGGGCGTGAAGCCACAGAGCGTGCCAGGCTGTGGGCGTGGCCTGTAACCTGGGAGACCTAAATACTAGATTTAGCCAGGGCTGCTAACTGTGTAAAGATAAATAAAGCATTCTGTTCATTATATAAACATTATAACCATGGGATACTCAGCTGCTGTACAACTACAACTCCCATAATGCTTTGCCAGCCATACTTTCACAACAACTGAGCCTCTACCTGCTTGCACCCTTCCTGCCTCACTGTCATTTATTAAACCCTAACTATTAATATCTAATATAGACCAGTAAACTGGTATTTATACATTTTTATTAAACAATATTATTATTATTATTTTTTTTATTATTATTTTTTTATATACATTAGATAGTGCATATGTCACAGGTGGTACAATAAATCCACACTGTAAATACAATTTATGAGAATCTTTCAACAAAGTCATAAAAATGTCACCTGTATCATATAAGTTGTAAATCAATAATATTTTAGGAGAAAAGTAAAAAAACAAAACAACAAAGCATAACATTCAGACCTCATTCATACACACCTTTTACTAGGGTCAATAGTAGAGAGAAAGCATAAAGATAAAAAAAAAAGCAAAACAAAATAGTGTAAATTATGTGGGTCAGGAAGGGTACAGGGACCATCGATGAAGCTTTTAATAATAATTGAGTTTTTATGATTGCCAGTTTTGTTAAGGGAAGCAGATTTCTACAAATACTAATTTGGGCTAATAATCAGATTAAAATAAATGTATAACTGTGACAATGAAGTTTTAGAGTTACACTGTATTGAAATACTGTGTTTAAAAAACAAACAAGAAAAACTGCTCAACCCCTGATAAGACCCAGGTCTCCAGGGTTTATTGTTTGACTTCTTTTGTTATACAAATGGATTCAGTCCGTTGAATAAACATCCTGTAATGGCTGATGAGAAGATACGATCAGAGACACAATCCAGGAATAATGAAAAGGTTATTTAGACCAAATAGAATGGCGAGAAACCGATTGCATGTAAATCATGTTCAAACCTATGTATAGCCCCAGTTCTGCAGAATAAACTACATCAACATCATCACAAAGCCACGGTTTGCTTCACATCTTGTGGCAATAGTTTTGGGAAAACCCTTTCCTGTCTCATCATGACTTTGCCCCTGTGCACAAAGCGAGGTCCATGAGGACATAGTTAGACAAGTTAGGTGTTTAGGAGTGTCCTGCATAGAGCCCTGACCTCAACCCCACTGAACACTTTTGGGATCAATTAGCATCCTGATTGGGAGTTAGATTTTTTTATTCAACATCTGTGCCTAATCTCACAAATGCTTTTTTTGTTTGAGTGGGCATGAATTGAATTCCCACAGGTACAATCCAAAAAGCCTAAATCTTATGGAAAGCCTTCCCAGAAGAGTTGTGGCTGTTATGACCACAGGAAGGGGGAGAGTAACTCCATATTAATGCCCATGGTTTTGGAATGGGATGTCCAACAAGATTATATATAGGCATGCAAGTTATGTGTTCACATACTTTTGGCAGTATAGTGAAGGGATCGATCGATTATTGTTTTGGAGAATATAATCAGCCGATAGTCAGAGTTTGGACAAAATATTGGTATTGGCCTATAATGATATCAATATTGGCGATAAAATGTGCGGTAGAGGCCCAGTACACACTGTCTTCAGCTCCTCTCTAAAATTCTCATCAGCCCCCGATCGTCAAAGCGTTACTGCAGGTTACCACGGCCTCAAGAGAGATGCACTTCTAAGACATACTGGGTATCTACCTTTGGCTACCCCAGACATTCAATAGTTATTTGATGGGAGATAATCAGGAAGACTTTAGAAAGGAAGAAATTGCCAAGTGCTTTTAATTGCTAAGGCATACAAATTGTGAAGTGTTAAGTAGACAATTAAAGGAAAACTACCATGAAAAAAGTTACGTGAAACCCTCTGGCAACCTTCACAAAGCCAATGGACCACCAGGGAGTGTAATGCCCCCTCCCTGGGCAAGGGTAAAAGGTGGAAGGCATACAGTTAAATGTAATAATAATTATATAAAATTATTAGCTTTTAGGCCACAGAATGGATTAGCCACATAATCCTACTTTACATATTTACACACACAGTGCATCCACTACACAAACACACACTGCATCCACTACACAAACACATAAATATTGCTGAAAACAATAAAGATAAAAAAGATTAAGAAGCTCACCGGCATGTATATTTTGTGTGTTTACCACTCATGATTTACAAAAAAAAACATTGAACAATAAACATGTTCAAAAATGGTAGATTTGTATAAATTAAATTGTGTTTCTTTTTTCAAAACTGTAAATGAACAGAATATGAGTACCGGTTATCTGCCCGAAAGACCACTGATAATCAGTATCGGCCCTAAGAAAGTAATATCTGTCTATCTCTAGTATGTGAGCAGAGATCCTATCCGATGCTGGAAATTCACATGCATCATGTATTTGATCCTATTCCATTGACTTTTCTGATTAAAAAATGGAGAGTAAAACAGATAATTTATTATTGCAACTAGTAGAAAGTGTCAGTTTCTAAACGAAATCACAAATCTTCGACTTAGAAACTGAAGAATGAAAAATTGCTTATTTAAACATATTCACTGTGCTCTGACAGATTGTATACGATTCTTACCATTTAGAGAGGTCATTAGTAAATCTGTGTTTTTCTATATATCACAGCTACCCTATAACAAGCCTTACGGAGCAGGGTTTCTTGATATATGGATGAATGGATTTGAAAATAGGGCTAGCATTACATTTACATCCCCCTAGATCATTGTGAAATAATTTTTTTTTTTTAGAATTTATTGTCAATTAGAACATTCATTTTATACAGAAATAGACCTAACTCCAAACAAGAAAATAAATAAGAGAACTACGACCAGGAGGTACACAACCCAGCACTGTAATAGTGAGGATTTCTGCATTTTTGCTACAGATATTCCGTATACATACTTAGATTGTTTTAAAATAAAGTAATACATCTCTGTGTCAAGCTCCTCTCGTCAAAGACAGCAAAGTCATTCCTAAAATATTGCTCTTTGACAACACAGAGAATCGTTTAAACATTTAATTAAAAATGAAAAACTGGAAAGGACGCATAATTATAGACAAAGACAAACAGGACTTATGTACATGAGCATGTTAAAGGGACACTCTATGCATCCGGATTACTACAGCCAATCCATCTTTTTGAGGAGATACTGAATGGCACAGTGTGGCGCATGTTCATTAGCTGAGATCATCGATGCTAATGGCTGGCACAGTAAAATGTGAGTAAATAGCATGTGTTGGCAGCAGGCTGGTATGCCTCTACTGACTAAAAGAGAAACTATAGTGCCAGGCAACAAAGTTGTGTTCCAGGTACTATAGCTCCCTATAGTGCCCCCCCATATGTCAAGGCCCTCCCCCTGTGGTGCAGAAGAGGTTAAAAATGCATTCTGTCACTTACCTGAGTCCAGCACAGATGACCGTCAATGTTGGCTTGGGCTCTCCCTCTGACCAAATACACATGTGCAACAGTGGCTGCACATGCATCAGTACATTGGCATTTTACAATGCTTTCCTATGGGGTTTCGGGTGACACTGGATGTCCACATGCTTAGCTGTGTAGATGTCTAATGTCAGTTAGGCGATCAAAAATCCGGAAGTCCCTCTAGTAGCTATCTACTAGAGGTGGAGTTAACCCACAAAGGTAATTATTTAAGTTTATTAGAAAGTACATTAATTACCTTTGCAGGTTTAAATGGCCTGGGAATATGCACCCACACCATTACAATGAGCTGAAGTGGTTTGGGTGCTTATAGTGTCCCTTTAAGTTACATCGGTGGCATGCTCCCGTAACTCGCCCACCTTGTCTCCCATTGTTGGGAGTTATGCCTAGTAAATGTGTCAATAGCAGAGCAGTGACAGTACTATTTTAAAATTAGATTAGGGTGCTGTGACCATGTTCCTGTTGTAATTGTAAATGCAATCAAGGCTAATATCAATTAATATTAATAGGTCTTTCAAAACCTTTACCACTCGTATTAGGGACAGAACACATGTTAAAGCAACATTATCAATAGTATAAGGGGAATAAAGTACACAGTGAACAACTCAGTATACTGTTTCCTTAAGGGAACTGCTATATCTACACTGCATTGTATACAGAATGTAGAGACATTTCATAGAGAGAGCCCAGTGCAATGTTTGTGTGTATGTAGGGGAAGTTACTTGTAGTGTAACATGCGTGGGGGGAATGCTGCTTGTGAGGTTGTTTGTAGATGAGGCTGTGGTGTAGTATGTGTGTGGGCATGTAAATAGGGTGTAATGTGTGTGTTAAGGGAGACAGTGGCAGTAATGGGGGATAGGGGCAGAGGTTGTGTGACAAGGACTCTGGTGGGGGTATAGTGGCCGTGATGGGGGAATTGGGGCTATAGTCAGGGCTGGTGTATCCATAAGGCGGCACAGGCAGCCGCCTTACGCCGCACCGTCTGTGGGGGCGCAAGATTTCACTGACTGACAGGAGGGAAGCGCTACTTGTGAACCCCCAGTGCGGCTGTGGTATAAACAGAGGCGGCGAGTGAGCTCTGATCTCCCTGCTCTGCTCCCATGCGCACCGTTTGCAGATGCCGCCTGAGCCGGAATATGATGTCATATTCCGGCTTCCGGCATCAGTAGACAGCCCGTGAGGGAGCAAAGCAGGGAGATCAGAACTCCCTCGCTACCTCTGATAATACCACTGCCGCACGCCTCCCAGCAGCCACACTGGACCCCAGGGACAGATCCATGCCAGCTCTCTAGGTAGGGAGGCTGGCTGGAAAATGTTTAATTATACAAATAATAATTAGCAGGTGTATGTCTGTGTGTGAGTGTGTGTGTCTGGGAGTGAGTGTATGTATGTCTGTGAGTGATTGTATGAGTCTGTGTGCAAGTGAGTGTATGAGTGTGCATGTGAGTGTATGAGTGTGTCTGTCAGTGTTAAAGTGTGTGTCTGTCAGTG